TTCTATATATATATTAATGGTTATATTATTCCAAACTAATGTTTTAAGCATTCTTTTTCAGAAGAATAGTGATACAAAATATGAAAATTTAGGATTAAGAATACAATATAAGTCGTGTCATTAAATAATTTGATACATATAATATCATAGATTCAAAATAATTAAAAAATTAATTATTAAATAATATAATTTATACATGTAATTGATTTTAAATTTTAGACCTAAAATTTTTAACTAATTTATCATTATCTTTTTTATAAAAGTTGGGGACATAAAATTTTCAAAATAGAGACTAAAGGCGAATGTATCCTATTGAATGATGATTATGCTTGATTAATTTCCATTTTTATAAGCGATAAAATTTATAGTAAAAATTAAAATAAAAACTACAACCACACTAAAAATTATTTTCTATTATCAAGATCAATATTTATCAACTCTTCTACTCTGTAATAGTGTTATTCGTCATTACCAAAAAAGAAAAAAAGCATAATGTGCAAATCCATCCTCAAAATTATGCAGTAGGACAAATTTACCCTTGAAAAAAAAAAGATTATTCACCTATAACCTTTTTGAGTTGGACAAATTAGTGAAAATCCAAGGTTTGACGTCATCCTTTAACTCCAAGCTTAGCTGGCCAACACGCTGGGGCTGGGCGCTTATGTGGCCCCCATTAATTGATTTGTACTTACCACATTCCTAAATTAACCTTTACATTTCTTTAAATTTACAAACTCACGCCGCTTTTAAATTTCAAAATTTTCTTTAGCTAAACCAGATCTACGTTTCAATTTTAGTTTTTCCTTTTTCTCTTAAAAAAGATCTACATATCTAGTTGATTACCCCATGTCTGGACCCCTACACCAATTCTGCTCACAAATGGGTGCCATTTCCTTGGTAAAAGCTTTCAACATGATTACGGTATGGCCAATGACACCTTCAAAATTGCCAAACATGCCAATTTCAAATTCAAACAAAAAGCTTTCACCTTTTGAAGGATTATGATGTATTTTCAATGAACTATAATGGAAAACCCACAAGTCTGATCTTTATTTTCTTTGAGATGAAGAAGAGAACCCATCTGGTTTTTAATGAGAACCAAGAATGAAAGGTTGAGGAACTTTACCCATTTGCAGTGACGATGAATGGGTTGATGAATAATTTGATATATATTTTTTAATTTTTAATATTTTAATTATACTGTAATATTTGAATTGAGTAAAATGAAATTAATTTTTTAATTAAACAATCAAGTTGAGTTACTTTATTTCGATTAATTGACTTAGTGCCTGTTTGGTGTGGATTGTGGGAAGAGCTTTTTGGCTCTAAAAGCACAAGCCACACCAAACGGGGTAGCTTCCTAATGTGGCTGCAGCTTTTGAGAAGCTCAGCTTCTCACTTTTTCTTTGTAAAGGCCGGAAACTCCCCAATTCTTACTTCCGCGGCAGCTTCCGGCTTTTGATTAATGAAATTGACATGATATCCCCATTTTATCCTCGCACTTCCTTTTATTTACAAAAAAACCACTATATAATGTTTCAAAACACCACATTTCTCCTCCTTTCTTCACCGTTCTTCACTGTCTTCTTCCTCATCCAATTCAATCAGAGAAACAAACAAAAATTCTTCCTCAAACAGAAAATTCTTCCTGATCCAGTTAGAGAAACAAACAGAAAATCCTTACCGAAAATCCCTCATCTACGAACCCAGGAGCTGAATTCGCGGCGAACCCCGCGCTTGGGTTCCGAGATGAACCCAGCGCCTGGGTTCGCGACGAACCCTGCGCTTGGGTTCCGAGACGAACCCAGGCGC